ATCAAGGCATTATCTCTTTTTTGTATTTATTAAATATGATCTATTTTAGAGAAAGTTCCACATGCTGCTGAGAAGTGGGTGAAATATTCTATAGATGTCTGTTTGGTCTATTTGAATAACGGTATTTTTTAATTCTGAAGAGTCTTAGTTTTTGTATGGATGATCTAACTAATGGTAAGAGAAGTGTGGTAAAATCACCCAGCATTACTGTATTGTAGTCTATTTGATTCTTTATATCGAGAAGAGTTTGTTTTATGTACGTAGGTCCACTGATGTYTGGGGCCCAAATATTTACAACCATTTTATCTTATTGTTGGATGATTCCATTAACCAGCATACATTGCCCTTCTTTTGTCTCTTCTGATTAATACTGGCTTAAAAATCTACTTTGTCTGATATGAGAGTAGCTAATTCAGTTGGCTTTTGGTCTCCAATTTCATGGTATATCCTTTTCCACCTTTCCCTTCTGCCAATGGATGTCTTTGCATGTTAAGTTTAATCTCTTGTAAACAATATATTGTTGGGTCTTCTTTTTTTAATCCATTTTGCCAAGGTATGTCTTTTGATAGGAGAATTTAGACCATTTACATTCAGTGTTATTACAGAGAAGATTTTTATTTCCTGCCATTTTATTTTTAATGCTTAATTCAAACTTGATTCTCCCTTGACTATTCTAATGAGATTCATCCCTGTGCTCACTCTCGTTTTTATTCCTCATTTATTCTTCATCAAATAGTTCATTGAGTTTGTTTTATAGTGAAGCTTTAGTGATTATAAGTTCTTTTGGATTCTGCTTGTCCTGGAAGGTTTTTATTTCACTTCGATTCTGAAGGACAGTTTTGCTGGATATGGTAATCTTTATTGACACCTGTTTTCTTTTATGACTTCATATATACTATTCCAAGTTGTCCTGGCTTTTAGGATCTGGGCTGAAAAATTGACTGAAATCCTATTTGGCTTACTAATAAATGTGACCTGCTGATTTTCTCTTGTGGCTTTAAAAATTCTTATTCTACAACAGGAATTTTAATTATAATGCTTCTTAGGATCTTTTTTGGTCTTGCTTATTTGGGGTCCTAAATGTCTCTTATATTTGAATTTCCATCTCATTACTAAGGTCTGGAAATTTCCCCGATATTATTTCATTGAATAGGTTGTGCATTCCTTTAGTTTGCACTTCAGTGTCTTTGTCTACATCAATGATTCTTAGATTTGGTCTCTGAACATTACTCCAGATTTCTTGGATATTCTGGTCATAGTCTCTTAACTTTTCTTTCTTTTTTTCTTTTTTTTAGTAAGGGGGATTGAACGCAGAGGCACACAACCACTGAGCCACATCCCCAGCCCTTTTATATATTTTATTTAGAGACAGAGTCTCACTGAGTTGCTCAGCACCTCACTAAGTTGCATCTGGTTTTTAACTCTTGATCCTCCTGTCTCAACCTCCTGAGCTACCGGAACTACAGGCGTGACCCACCATGCCCAGCAACATCTTTCTTTATTTTCAAGATAATATATTTTGTCTCTAAGGCCTGAAAATCTGTTTTCAAAGCCATTTAATCTATTGGTGATTCTTTCCACTGAAGTTATCAATTCTTTAATTTTCAAAATTTGTTTGGTTCTTTTTTAGAATCTCTATATTGAAATATCTTTCACTTCCTGTATTTTCTAAGTTCATTGTTACATCTTTAAAATATGGAACACTTTAGAATTTGTGTGTCCTCCTTGTGCAGGGGCCATGATAATCTCTGCAGCATTCCAATTTTAGTACATGCACGGATAAGTGAGCACACACTGACAACTTTTAAGTGAAGGTAAAATGGCTACCTATGCTGATATCAGTTTTACATTTTTAAATCTCAGATTTGAAGCTCTTTTCTATTAAAAGCAAGTCTCATAACTACATGAAAGCAGTTAATTATATTTATTCTAATATTTAAAGACACTGTGATTGGGTCTTACTATATTATAATTTTCATGGACAATTTAAGTTATAAATGCTTAAAAATTTAAAAAAAATACAATTACCATGAATATACAATCACTGTGACAAATATGATTATAACTTGCTATTATATACTAACTGTAAAAGGTTAAGAATGACACAGCAGTTCATTATAAACCACATTAAAGCTACCTTTAATATGAGGTGGAAAATTAGAGCCATCTTATTTCATAGAGTGTTAATTCATTTCATGGTAACTTCACGAAGAATTATGAAATAAACACCTATTTCTTATTCATTTTACCCTGAGATTTGCTGAAATAAGAAAACATTCTCAACTAAACTTATTGAAACTAAAAGAACATTGGATAGGATGTCAAGCAATAGATTTGAGTTAACTTGGCTAATAAGCATGACCATAGGATGGTTCCCTTAAAACTATCTTATTGAAGTTCCAAGATCAAAAACCTAATGAGATAACTAGATGCATTTACTTCACTGAATGTGAAATATCTTTAAGGTCATCATTTTCAGGCCATGTATGTTAACACCTTTTAATCTAAGACACTGACATAATTCTGTTTTAAAACCTAACATTTACAAATTTGAATAACTTTGACAAACACACCCCAGGTGTTCTTTTGCATTGCAAACAACCATTTGCTACAAGTGCAAAATGTTGATGAAAATTTCAAGTTGCAAAGAAAACTGTGATAGTCATGTTTGAAATATTATTTTAAAATTTATTCTTCCATGGAATTGTTTTACATAAAATTTCAAAGGAAACTTGCTTTGTCTAAATTTGAAGGATGTATTTAAAACTCCATTTATATGCAAAATAATGCAAATGTACTTTTAAAGACAGGCAACTCTTAGCAATATGTGTTAATAAACAAGCACAGCAAAATAAATAAAACTATACTAAAACTGCTGTTCTTCCTTCAACAAAGAAGGAGCAATCATCTATGCTCTTAACTCTATAATGAAAGAGCAATAGAGGAGGGTATATATACAGAAAAGAGAAGACAACCAGGGTCAGCACACAGGTGAGCCAGCAAGCTCAGGTAAAACGTGCTGCAGGAAAAGTGACCCAAAAGAGTTAGAAGCTACAGTAGAAGTCCAGCATATCTAACATCCTGTTGCTACACATATAGTTCTGGTGATTCCAGCAGTCCAGTCTGGCTCCTTAGGTCCAGAATGATATGTAGCAAATACTGGATACTCAATATTATTTTACAAAATTGAAAATAACTTATACAGAAATTGAAAGAAAACTTGAGACAAATCCACATAATCTAAATTTACTTCTCTGTGTGTTACCCCTATTTTTGTATGTACTCTATTATTGTAGGCATTCAGGATATATCTGCTGAATGTATGAAGTCCACTTATAGTTAACCAGAAAGAAATCAAATTTATTTTCTAGTAGGATCTACACAATCACAATAGGCTAGAAGGATTCTTAAGGATCAGCAGAAATAATGCTTCATTTCACCTATGAGGAAATTGGATCCCAAATGATACCAAGTAACTTGCCTAAAGTTACACAAAGTTATTGACAGAGGAACAGAACTAGCCCATGGGTTCAGAATTCTATATTCTTCATGGTATTTTCTTATTTAAGGATATCACAAATACACAATCATTGATAGTAACATGTTTATCACCATGTACTATTTATTGTATTGAATACTATCTTTAATTTTCACAATAATCCAGTAAGAAATAGTTATTATCCCATTTAAAAGTTAAGCAAACTGGAGGGGCTGGGGTTGTGGCTCAGTGGTAGATAAAGCTATCTTGTTTTTTAAGGTGACTTTATGTAACTCTGTCCTTACAGAAAATACAATGATTTCACTGACTGAGAAACCAATCTTATTTCCAAGTTCTTAGAAATACACCAASAGTTAATAATAACCATTAATAATTCAGAGACTATTTGCTAGATCTTAGGCTAAGTGTTTTATTCATAATATTTCATTTAATCTTTGCCACAACTTTTTAATGGTAGGTACTCCATTTTAAAGAAAAATACTCAAGTTTCAGAGAGAAAGTAGTAGAAGAGATTTAAAAAACAGTAAATATGGTATTAAGAACTATGAATAAAAAATAGAGCAAGTTAGGAAGATGAGAGAATAAGTCGGGGGGGGGAGGAAGATACATTTGTTTTACAAAGTAAATATGAGAAAAGATTCTYAAGTGACTTCTGAAAAAGAAGAAGAAGTATGTATGTAGATATGTGAGGTGAGACTATGTCAGGGACATAAGCATGAGGGCTCTGAGTAGAAGTGAGCATCTTCAAAGAACAGCATGAAGGCCAGTGAGGCAGAAGTAAAGTAAACAGGGAAGAAAATGGATGCTGATGGCTGTGGAAAGAGTGCAGGAGCCAGATCACACAGAGATCTGCATGGGTAGCAAGAGAGCAATTAGGAAGCTAGCATAAAAACTGAGCATAGGGCAATTCATGGTTTGGACTAGAGTAATCACAGTAGAGGTTTAAGAACTGGTCAGATTCTATATGAAGGTAGAATGACAGGATAAAAATAGTTTCAACATATAAACATCTAAACACAAAATTTCTTTGTAATTGTGCAGCAAAAAGCTTAATGAAATAGAAGCATAAGATGACTCACATCTTCGGTCAATGGTATGATGAAAAAAGATTAAAATATAGAGAAAAAACATTATTTACATACATTATTGACATTATTTAATACATTGAAATACAGAGAACAAACAAAATTTCTAGCAGGCTCAGTGGTACACACTGTAAGCCCAGTTAAAACTGAGAGGTTGAAGAAGGAGAATCACAAATTCAAGGCCACCATGAGCAACTTAGCAAGACCCTGTCTCAAAATTAAAAAAAAATAATAAAAATWAAAAAAATAAGGGATGGGAGGATAAAGCTCAGTGGTAGAACATTTGCCTGGCATGCATAGAACCCTAAGTTCAACCCCCAATATAGGAAAAAGCAAACAAACAAACAAGGAAACCCTAAATCATTATATAGTCTCAGGCATTCTAAAGAGTGAAACAAAAACAAAAGACAACTTACCTTACTGGTCAATGTATTTATTTCTCGGTCAGCTTTATGCAATTTACTGGTTAAAAAAGTATTTTGTTCATTGCTTGATTGTAGCTCTTTTTCCAAACGTTCAGCCTGTAGCTTAGCTGACTGTTTTTCAGCCTTTCATTAAAACAAAATATTTTAAAATTGTCCACAATGTTTAGCATATCAAAATGAAATAATCATTATTTACAATTCATGTATGATCATACAAAAAATTGTTCAAAACCTCAACTGTAACATGTTCCAAAGTAACAAGAGTTTTCTCAAATTGGTAGAAGTGAAATAAAAGGTTTTGCTTCAGGAAATAAGCAACAAAAATATAAAGTATAAAAAGGTATAAACTTCCTTCAGGAGAGAAAGTACTTATGGCACTCATTTGATACCCATTTACTCTGAAAGCTGACATAATTTACAAACATTTGGGGGTGGGGGTTCAAGACCAAAGTGGTTATGAAAAAAGCATATTAAAAGGTAGAAGAAAAAAGCTCACTGACAGCAGTACGATGTGAAAATTCAAAATTCAAAATCAACAGTTTTTTTTTTTAAGAGAAGAAGAGACAAGTAGTAAAATCCTCAACTAATCTGAAACTTTTGAGGCATGAGCAAAACAGTTCTTGACCTCATCACATAATTCTTGAAGTTTATAAGTTGTCAAAATTCTTCTTGTTAAATACTTAAAGTTCTCTCTTATTAGGGAAGGAAAACTAAAAGGTTTTAAAATTATTTCTGTTCAAAAAAATAAAAATGTTTGGTATTTAAAGGATAAGCATTGGTCTTAAAACATCTCATTTCATAGGTGTGCTAAATATGATAAAGATTGTGGTCAACAAATAATTCAGAAAAAAAGTTTTCTTCAAATACAAAATGATACTTTCTGGTTACAATGACAGCCAAGAAAGCTGAAGTAAGAAATGTTTATCATGTGCTCATTTTCATTTCACCTGACAAATAAAATTAAACACAGGTTCTTCTGAAAATGTCACCAAAGAATCCATCTTTTGTCATCATTCAACTTGCTCTGAAAATACTCATTTCATTGATGACCTTGATGAAAAGATTCATACTGGGACCATCTACTACATTCAAATGCAATTGTCCTACTTAATTCTGTCACTGTGTAAATATGTTAAAGAAGAAGAATGGCAACATAAATAATTTCACGCTGAACTGCCTCATGTCTAAGTCCAATAATACTGATAGCCTTAATTCAGGAGACCAGCAAATACTGACAGAGGCTTTATCCAAAAACCAAAAGTGACTTCTAAATATAACAATATACTCCTTGTAACAGCTTGCTGGCTGTTGAGGGGAGAGGGTGGGGTCAGGGGAATCACCGTTTTCGATTTAGATATTGGATTTTTAACTGCAAACTAGGTATCTGATAATTTCCCTCCAACCCAAATCATTTCACAACTATTCCAAAGGGGAGGAACACTGGGACTGTACAAGTTATATCAAAATGTTAAATTATATCTTTGCTATACTTCCGGCATCTAATACTAGGAGAAGTAAGAGTGTCTGAATATGATGGAAACCAAGAGTTTACATAAGGTAATACCTCCAAAAGTACCAACTGACTGCCAACACTTCTTTCTCTAATGAACTAAGAAATAATTTAGTAAAGGCTTATATATATTAGTAGACAAGTTAAATTTTATTACTCTGGCCAGAGCTGTCTTAAGATATGCAAGTACGGTATTCTGCTCGAATAAGAATTATGATCTTAAGATTTCAAATTCCAGGGTAAGGAATTTATAAACCCAAAAGAAATTTTTCTTTCTGGTTTGAGACGATTTTAGCCTTGAGAAAGTTGAATAAATTTGGGGAGACTTTGCATATTCTATTCTGTGGCATTATAAGAGTTATATCATTTCAAATAGGTGTTAGACTCCCCAAGAATAAATATCCYTTTGTAAATGTGGCAGCACAGCTATTGCTTATGAATCAATAGCTTTATTCTTTACAGAAAGAACACATACTCTTGGGATTCCACAAATGCGTCAGCATTAGACTGGTGAGCACACATTTATGTTCTAAAATCAAAGGCTTGTCAACTGCACTTTTAAAAACTATGCCATACTCTACCGGGAAGCAATTAAAACCTTACCTCCAGAGACCTAACTGTAGCCTGCATCTCAGCCAACTGTCGCACCTGTATTCTTTGGACATTTTCTATCTGAGCACCAGAATTCTCTTTTTCAGCCCTTAATTCTGCTACTTCAGCCTCTAAACCTTTTAATTTCTGAGACAAATGGACTTTTTCTCGTACAAGTTGCTCCATTCGTTTGGTGTCTCTTGTAAGATCAACGCTAAACAGCTGGTTATGTAGTTCTTCTTTATCTTTCTCCAGTCTTGCAATCTAATAATAATTTGAAAGAAAGCATACAAGCTTAAATTATTGAATTTTTAGTCATGAACATGCTTTATAAGGCAGTAAATTAAAATTAAAAACTGCACAATGTGAAACTCAGGTGGAGAAATGAAGTTAAAAGAAAAAAAACCTAAACTGTCACGTTCTTCATTCTGTACTCAGCATGACTCAAATTTGAGGGCAAGGACTTTGTCCTATTTTTCCTCTTTCCTCCCAGGATGCTAGTACAGGGCTTAATCAGTTTCTGACTAAAATTCAAAATTATAAATAATACCACTTTATAATTATTGAAAACATGTCAAGTGTTTTAAAAGTCACATGATAGGGGTTTGTGCACTGACTGCTCCTAAGGTTCAAGACAGTAATTCTTAGGTTATGTTGATATTAGTACAATTAATTCACACAAAAGCTGCTTTCTGTATAAATAAATACAAATGTGATCAATGAAAGTTTTAAAATAATAGTTGAGAGTTTATTTAAATCCTAGTTGTAATGATGGCTTACTTCTTAATTCTGTTACTCCAGGATATGAATTAAAGTCACATAAGAACTTGTAGAGCAGACAAAATAGTGATCTTGTCACTCAACAATTGCTAGACCCCTTGGGTCTACAAATCAGTGGATTTTAAGTGGCTTCCTAATGTCTGACATTTTAGAGCCTCCTCATCTCTGGAGATCAAGGACCAAGCAATCAGGATAGAACACATTCTTTCCATTTCATGATCTCTCCAACTATCTACATCTCAATCACCATCAAATCTCTGTTGTTAACCATCAGGGGTTTTGTTTGTTTTTGCAGCACTGAGGATCTAACCTAGATCCTATACATGGTAGGCAAGTACTCTACTACTGAGCTACAATCCCAGCTCTATCAACTACTCTTTTTAGTTTCTTTTCATATACTGGGTTGCCTCATATGATTCAACATGAGCAGAGAACTCAGCTGTTTAAAAAAAAAAATGTAATCTGCTGCTCTAAACAAGTCTAGAGGACCAGGGATTTAGCTCAGTTGACAAAATGCTTGCCTTGCATGCACAAGGCCATGGGTTCAATCCTCAGCACCACCAAAACAAAACAAAACAAGACCAGAGGCTATTTGTAGCCAGGATGAACTGTGAAGGCTCACTCTAAGCCAAAAGGACCCTAAAGGAATACTCTAGGATCTAGGCAAAAATGGTCCGAGACAACTAATTGGTTGCTTACAGAGTTATCAATGTGTCTAAGAAGTAAGAGATCTCCATCCCAAGGACTGGATCTTCATCTRCAAAATGACAACTCTTAAGACAACTACAGACAACTCTTAAGATCCTTTTTAGTTTTACCTGGTAGTGACTGCAAGTTTGATTTGGGACATGCTGAATTAAAAGATGTTGAGGGAAAATAAAGGTAGAGCTATATCCAGTAGGCAGATGTTTTGTTTGGTTTTCCCAGAAAATAAAATTTTACCTAGTACCTGTAGCATTCAGAGCTAACCCCTCAAAAACCAACTCATTAGTGTTTCTCTCTTATTTTTCTTCCCATGCTTTAAATTCAAAATTATAAATAATACCACTTTATAATTATTGAAAACATGTCAACATGTAACCATTACCCTCAGGGTTTGGTCCTTGACTACTTTTTTCCTCCACTTTTTTCTTCAGATAGCTGTGTGACTATGCAAGTCATATTTTTTATTCTGTTTTCAGTTTAAATGAAGAGCTTGGGCTGGATGATCTTTAAAATGCTATTTAGCTTTTTCATGGGGTAACTCAAACACAAGGGGTTTTTTGTTTGGTTTGGTTATGCTGGAGGATGAACCCAGGGCCTTATGCACATCGGTGAATGCTCTCTATGTTTGAGCTACAAACCCAGCTCCAAATACAGTATATGCTATTATTAAAGGTATGTCAGCTCATTTAGATTAGGAATTAATATATAACCCAGATTCAGGCAATGGTGCCCCTTAACTGAGTACTTACTATAGATCAAGCACAAAATTAAGCACTCTACAATAAAATCAACAGTAACACCAATTTTTCTTGTAGCCCTTATTTTAGAAATAGGATCACAAAGTTAAAGTTCTTAACCAGCACACATCCTATATTGTTTTCTCCACAAGTTTTGAGTGTCATAGCTGAAGTGACTGGTGCAGCAGTAAGACTAGATGACAGCTAGATTATGGCAGAGTTGATTAGATTCCACATTTATAATTCCCAAAATGGAATTCACTATCAAATCACTCTTAACCAAAACTGGTGATCACTGCCTTCTAACTGCTGTATTTACTTATTCATTCACATGATAAATATTTACTGAGTCTTAGTATGTACCAGACACTGTTTTAGCTAATAAGGATACAACCTAGCAGAAAAGCAAACACAAAACCTCTACACTGGCAGAACCTATTCTATTCAATCACTGCCATGACACCAATCTGTGTCATCATCTCACTACAGATCTCGGACACATCCTCACTTCTTTCCTTTGCTTCCACTCTTAATCAGATTCATATGTCATTTTCCTTGATGTCATCTATTTGTTGTACTCTCAAATCTTTCTCTAAATTTCCAAAAGGCTTTCTCTGAATTTCTCTTCTATGATATTTATCCAAATCTGCCTATGTTGCAGTTGCCTACATTCCTTTACTTGTAACAACTTGCTTGACAGATAAGACAATGTATCAACCAGTTTTACTTTTCCAAAAGTTGTTTAAGTACAGGAAATGGATAGAAAGCGATCAGAGACTAAAAAGAGTGATTAGTTTCCTTTTCATAGTTTGGTAGCATCACTCTACTGCCCTGAGGCATACAGAGAGAACAGTAGTGCATCTAATTGCCGCATCTTTGTTTTTATTACCCTCATGATGTAGCACAGAGAAATGGATAAACATACAGGCTCTGGAATCAAACTGCCTAGCATTCTTTATCTTTCAGTATTTAAAATATAATAAATGCATATTGATATACTTTCTTCTGGCTTTTACTATTTCCAAAATGAAAATGTTAACATTCTTATATTTGTTCTACACAAAATATCTTCTCACCTCTGTTACTCTTTTAATTCAACCTTTTCTATTCAGATAAACAATATGTTCACATGTAAGGAAATACTGAAGGTATTAGTGATTCCGTGTACCCTTCACTTAGTTTCCTCCAGTGGTAACATCTGTCTTCTTCTGTTTTCTAGAAAACATTGTGTAGAATTGGTTTTGGTTTTTCTTTCTTTTCTTTTTTAAAATATTTATTTAGTTGTAGATGAAGATACAGTATGTTTATTTATTTTCACGTGGTGCTAAGGATCAAACCTATGCCTCACACATGCAAGCCAAGTACTTTACCACTGAGCTACAGCCCCATCCCCAGGTTTAGTTTTTCTTTAAACACTTAGCAGAATTATCCAACGAAATCATTCTTTCTGGGTCTGTTAGTTTACTTTTGTAGTACTGGGGATTGAACCAGGGACTTGCCCATGCTAGGAAAGCGCTCTACCACTCAGCTATATTCCCAGCCCTCTGGGAATGTTTAAAATTATAAATTCAAAGGACTGGAGGTATACCTCATTAGAAAAGCCCACACTTAGCATGCATAAGGCCCTGGCTTAGATTTCCTAGCACCCAAAATAAATAAATAAATAAGCACACACACGCACATAAATTTAATTACCTTAAACCAGTTATAGGCTTTTTTCAAATTACTTCTTACTGCCTACCAATTCATCTACATTATCAAATTTATATCAGTAAAATTATTTGTAGGATTATCGTATTCCTTTTAATGTCTGCAAGATTGTGAACGATACTATGTTTCATTCTTGAGGGGGATAATTTGTATCTTGCCTTTTTCGGGGGGGGGGCAGTCTTCCTAGAGGTTTTTCTATTTTATTAATCTTTTTAAAGAACCAGCTTTTGATTCTTTTTTGTTTTCACTTTTATTGATTTCTGTTCTTATTTTTATTATTTCCTTCCTTCAGCTTGCTTTGATTTTATTTTTGATAAACTTCTTATAGATTCTTGAAGTGGGAGATCAGATTATTGACTTGCTATATCCCTTTTCCTAATTCAGTCATTTAGTGCTATTAATTTTCCTCTCATATTGCTTTGTCTTGTCCCCCAAATTTTTATGTTACACTTTCATTTTCAGTCAATATGGTTTTTGAAATGTAATGTCACAAAATGTTCTGCATTAAAATTTCCTTTTTCTTTCACAAATCATTTGAATATGTCACTTCATTTCTAAGTGTTTAAAGACTTCCCTATTAGTTTTCCATTATTCATTTCTACTTTGCATTGTGGTCAGAAAACTCATTGTATAATTTCAAGTCTTATAAGTTTGTTGAGGTTTATTTGATAGCTGATAATACTGTCTTACATTCAGTGGGCATTTTAAAAGAATACACTTGGATGCTCTTGTTGGGTGGAATGTTCTGTAAATGTTAATTCGATTCTGTTGGTTGATAATGGTAATTTTTTCTACATTCTCCCTTATTTCTAATTTCCTATAAATTGTTGTGATGGCTGTAAAGTTATCAATTATAATGTAGACTTGTCTTTTTTAGTTTTTAATTTTTGTTTCACATATTGTGCAACTGTTTGGTATATATTCTGACTTCTAGTTGGACAGACCTATTTGTCATTATATATAATTACACTGTGGAAATGAGGGAATCCATATAAAATTGGGTTCACTTTATTAGTTTGAGTGATGTACAGAAATTTTACCTCCCTTTKCCCTCACTGGCTTACAATATATAATGACAAATATATTTTCTTTGTTCTGAAGTCTACTCTGATATTAACATACTAATTCCTGCCTCCTGTTAATTTTTAGTTACATCATATCTTTTTCTAGATCTACTTACAGACTACCTATATTGCTGTATTTGGAGCTTTCTGTAGACTACATAGAGTTGGGTCATTTTTTTAAGCTACTCTAAATTTGTGTTTTTAAGCCATTTACATTTATCACAACAAAATGTTGTCATATTTTCTATTTCTTCTCTACAGTTTCTGT